TTTTTTTTAATCTGGCTTGCTATTCTGTGTCTTTTAATTGGGACATTTATTTACATTTAAGATTAGTAGTGGTATGTGTAAATTTGATCTTGTCATCATGATGCTAGCTGGTTAGTTTGCAGACTTATGTGGTTGCTTAATAGTGTCACTGGTCTATGTACTTCAGTGTGTTTTTGTAGTGGCTGGTAACAGTTTTTCCTTTCCATATTTAGTGCTCCCTTCAGGACCTCTTGTACGGCAGGTCTGTTAGTAATGAATTCCGTCAGCATTTGCTTGTCTGAAAAGGATCTTATTTCTCATTTGCTTATGAAGCTTACTTTGGCCAGATGTGAAATTCTGGGATGGAAATTCTTTTAAGAATGTTGAATATTGGTCTCCAATCTCTCCTGGCTTGTAGGATTTCTGCTTAGAGATCTGTTATTAGTCTAATAGGCTTCCCTTTGTAGGTGGTCTCACCTTTCTCTCTGACTGAATGGCAGGGTTCTTAACCTGTCCATGTGCCTCCTGTGGGAAAGCCAAGGATGGACTTCAGGAAGCTCAGGGATTTCCCCAAAATTGTGTATAAAAATCTGTGTACATGTGTATATGTGCATTTTTCCAGGGAGAGTATCATATTTTTCATCAAATTGGCATAGGAGTCTGCCAATATATGAAAAGTTAAAAACTGTCTTGGCTGGGCACAGTGGCTCATGCCCGTAATCCCAGCACTTTGAGAAGCCGAGGCAGGCAGATCACGAGGTCAGAAGTTCGAGACCAGCCTGGCCAACATGGTGAAACCCTGTCTCTATTAAAAGTACAAAAATTAGCCAGGTGTGGTTGCAGGCACCTGTAATCCCAGCTGCTTGGGAGGCTGAGGCAAGAGAATTGCTTGAACCCGGGAGGCAGAGGTTGCAGTGAGCCAAGACCATGCCATTGTACTCCAGCCTGGGCAACAGAATGAGACTCCGTTTCAAAAAACAAAAACAAAAAACCAAAACAACCAACCATCCAAACAAAAACTATTCTCTTACATTAAAGTGGTCCTAGGAAGATATCTAACATCTGCAGTCTGAGTATTTGGTCATTGTGGTTCCCTAGGCTTGCCCCTCAGCATTGTCTGCCTTGTTTTCTATCTTAAGAGTCGTGTCTGTGTGTGTGTGTGTGTGTATAAAATGCCCTCTATTCTTCAAACCAACAAAATAATTTATTAATTTATGGGTCTTTTTGAGAACATAACATGCTGTAGCCCAATATGTGGTAACTTTGATTTAGTGGGTCTAAGATGTTATCAAGCTCCTGGGGTGACTGTATTTTTTGGATGAGGATTATTCTATCACATGATATGCCCTTGGAGGGCAGAAATCGGTTTTTATTCATCTTTTGTTTCCTTCAAAAAAATTTGTCTTGCATCAATTACATCTTCTGTTGAACTGAAATGCACAGATGACTCATTCTCAGTGAGATAAGTCTTTTTAGCAATAGGTTGTTTTTATTTTTCCCTCATCAAATTTCAGTCTTCTTACCATGCTGGCAAATACATGTTTTGTAGGTCTTGTGACTTTTTTTTTTTTTTTAAGCATGGCTACCCATTCTAGGACTCAGGTTATGGAATTGTGACAGGATGTGAAAATGGAATTCTTTTAGTTTCAGATTTGGCTTAGGCTCCAAGCTGCTATGTACCAAAATAAGGTGTGAGACCACCATGTAGGAGTTGCAAAAGATGGGGATAAAAAACATGTTTTGTGACTTGTAAAAAGGGCCAGGTTGATAGAGATAAAAACATGATTTTTGGAGAGAGCTATTAGAGTTCTAGGGCTCCATATATGAAGGAAGTGGGGAAGCTTGCTCTCATCTCAAGCCGCCACTGAGAAAGGGCTTTTCTGGTCCAGAGACTTTCTACCTGATGTTCAACTGGAAAACCAGTGGCAGAATTAGCTGTGTGGTTTGGGCAGTTACTATACTGATGACAGTGGAGCAGAGGTGTTTCCTGTCGACCAAGGTGAGCACACACAATTGTGAGAGGGTGTGTCTGAATATGTCCAAGAGGCTTTCTTGGAAGTGTGACAGGATCCCAACACAGAATCTTTGGAGGACTGCCAAGAACCTGAGACTGAAACGAAAGTACTCTCATCCATCCAGAGAGTAAATTACCCTTTTCAAAGAATAGATGAGAAATCTCCAGGGGTGTAAGGAAGGGAGAAGTGTCTGAAGAACACTAGAAAGTACCCTGTAAGAGAACTACAGCAGTTTTTTTTAACACCTTGCAAATTCAAAGAGCACCTATGCAAAACTAGTAAGATAATACCAGTCATCAAATAAGAACTTTCCTGTTCCTTTCACCTTTACCTCCATTTAACCCTCACCCTGGAGGGCCAGAACTCCTAATCACAAGTTGGGGGAAGAGGACTAGAAGCACTACAGGATAAAGCACTATAGGCCTGGGCCTGGTGGCTCATGCCTGTAATCCCAGAACTTTGGGAGGCTGAGGTGGGCGGATTACTTGAGGTCAGGCATTCCGGACCATCCTGGCCAACCTGGCGAAACCCTGTCTCTACTAAAAATACAAAAATTAGCTGGATGTGGTGGTGCACACCTGTAATCCCACTTACTTGGAAGGCTGAGGCAGGAGAGAATTGCTGGAACCCAGGAGGCTGAGGTTGCAGTGAGCTGAGGTCATGCTATTGCACTCCAGTCTGGGTGACAAAAAAAAAAAAAGCACTATAGGACAGTAGTCCCCAACCTTTTTGGCAACAGGGACTAGTTTCATGGAAGACAATTTTACCATGGACCATACTGGGCGTAGAGGGTAAGAGAAGGATGGGGAGAATCATTAAATTTTCATGAGAAGCACTCAACCTAGATGCCTCACATATGCAGTTCACAGTAGGGCTCTTGCTCTTCTGAGAATCTAATGCTGCAGCTGATCTCACTCACCCACTGCTAACCTGCTGCTCTGCAGCCTGGTTCCTAACTGTCTGTGGCCCAAGGGTTGGGGACCCCTATGATGGGAAACAGAGCAGTCACTGTTGCCTCTTTTCTGCTGCAACTGGCCAATGTGTAGCAGGCCCATGCTAGGGAAGGAAAAAGTTTTACCTATAAATGAAGCTTTATGTTTTTGGTTGTTACACTGAGACATTAATTACTGAACTGGAGGTCATTTTATACAACTTAAAGTGACAGGAGGACTGCTTACTGAAAAGTGACCGGAAAAGCCATAGATCTGCTCTAAATTTCTTCTATTTCCTAGATTCTGGGAGAATGGAAAGAACTGCTGTTGCAGAGCCAGTTTAAAGGGATTGCAAAATGTTTACAGCTCATACGGCCTGCTTTTCCTGTGTAATGCCCTTAGCACTTATGGGTTGGCTCAGAGGCACCAATCCTGACTGGGACTTGAGGAAAGTTTTGAATTATTTGCAAATCAATCAGTGATCTTTCTGGTAATATAAGCAAGTGCCCAACACTTCATAGAGAGTCCCTGAATAAAAACTATTGTCTATAAAGATTTAGACTAAATTCAAATTTTATATGAATATTGTTGACAGTCCCCATTTGAGGCCAAAGAAACTGTGATGCTTTCAAAATAGAATATTTTAAAAGTGTGTGTGCACATAAATTTAATTCTCTGTGCCACTGTAAGCATGGGAAGGATTGAAACTGCTGGGCCCTGTGGAGCAAAGTCACATCTCTTAAGAGCTCATTCGGAGTGGACCTTCTCAAGTGTAGGAGATTCCTTAACTATACTTTTAACGTTCCTATTTTTCCTTTTGGCTTAATTGATGTGATCAGTGTAGTAAGTAAACTGCTGTCAATGTCCTCAGTTTATAGTGTTGTTTGTAATCTCTGCATCCTCACCATGTCTTCTTAATGGCACTTTTTCTAGTACCTCCTCTCTTTTTATGTTCCCATTTACTTTGCATAGCACACTGAAACTTTACAAAATGTTAGTGCATACATGGTTTAGCTTTCATTCTTCCAAAAAAAAAAATCTTTGTTAAAAATCCCTACATATATTAACTGCCTTTAATGGGAGGTGCTATTTTTCAATTCCAGGCAGCAAGTTTAATGCAGAACCCTCAAGTTCAACAGCTGTAAGTATATAGAAATAGCTTATTATATTTCCTTGATTCTACTTGCCAGCCTCCTAATTCGAGCACATCAGCTCAAAAATGATGAAACTGTTCCAAATGGCAGTCAGTTGGAGCTTAAAGCAATACACATTTGGTCTAGCCTCTGGCATAACATGGGCATATTTTATTAACTTTTCCTCGTCCAGTTGTCTTATTTGTTAAGAATATACACCAATCCCAGTGATGTATTTCTTGTGTACTCTAGAATGTCAGGGATGATGACAAATGCCATTGGGGGACCTGCTGCTGGAGTTGGGGGCCTAACTGACCTATCAAGCCTCATCCAAGCGTAAGTATTATTTAAAATAGAAGATGTCTTTTATGTTTTACAGCTTATCTCTTTGGTGAGGGGTAAGGGCATTCTTTTTAAATTTTTATCTTTTACTGTTAGTAATATTGGCCTCTTTAAACTTACTAAATCTGAAAGAAGTTCATGAATTAGAACTACTTTTTAGACTGCAGGGCAGGAATCCAGACCTGGTCTGGCCAGCCCTGTCTGTTGAGAAAAAGAATCATATGTTCATTCTGCTTTTTTTCCCCTACTCATTATGCTTTATTAAAAGGGGACAGTCAAGTACCAACAGATTTTTTTTTTTCTTTTCTGGCACCATCTCAATAAGGCAGGTGAGGGACAGATATTAGAAAAGTAGATAATTTATATCCCTACTCAATGTCTAGAGAGACTGAGGTACAGGTTAGTGACTTACTAAAGAAGCCAAAGCACATTTAGTCTTTTCATTTGCAGCCTAATTTTAGTTTTACTTGATTGTGTTGTCAGTATGAAATTAGGGTCCTCGGTTTTCTAAGTGGTGGCATCATTGCAATATCTTTGGTTACAGAGGGTCCCAAGGATTGGTGACCTGTTACTTTGAGGGTATGGAGACAAACAGTAAAAGTTATATCTCCAAATAAATTGTGATCTCATATATATATAAAGCTATTAATCCCCCATTTTTTTTTTCCAATAAAGAGCCAAGAAAATGTTTTTTTTTAGCAGACTTCAAACTACTCAGGGACACAGATGAAGGTCAAGTATCTACTTAAAATATATATCAATTTAGGTACACATACATAGTTTAAAATCACGTTACCTACTTTAACGTTCAGCCAATTCAGGAAACTATTTTATTCAAACTTTTTCAGTGCCTGTCAACACTTAGAGGAACTACCTGCATCAACTTGTTACTTGAGCACATTGCCTTCACTTAAATTGGTGAAGATAACTTTGAGTTTTGAAACTGTGTCTGATGCTTTTGCTGGACACTTTATATGAAGCCACAGTACCATTTGTTGTCATCACAACCGTGTATCCACTTAGAATATTGCATTTTTAGAATGACCTTTAAGTGGCATATAGTAATGCCTAACACTGCCAATAGAGGGTCACACACTAGAATTTGTGATAAACTTCTTAGTGTTTTTAAAATTAGTTGTTAGGTAACCTCCCAAAGCATCCCAAACTGGGTGTTATATGAGATTGTTAAGACTTATGTATAAAAGCATTATATTTGAGCACATACAATAAAAACATATACTTCTTAGCCCTTTGCTTCTTTGTTATTAGCACTATAGAAGTAGATTTCACCCAATTGAAGTATTCATTTTATTAGCATGGGTGTTTTGTTTCTTATAAAGAACACTGCATTGTAATTATGCTATATGGAGGTATTGGTAAACTCGTAGATACTAAAGTTGTGGCTCTAAAACTTGTTTTTATAGAAAAAGCCCCCTGTAGGTAGCTCCCACATTTTCTGCAGTTCTTTTTGCATGGGTAAGTGTGACTGGTAATTCCCTATTCAAACCACGTTGCATCTTTACTACAGGGGACAACAGTTTGCTCAGCAGATACAGCAACAAAATCCTGAACTTATAGAGCAACTGAGAAATCACATCCGGAGCAGATCATTCAGCAGCAGCGCTGAAGAGCATTCCTGATTCGACTAGGGGCTGAAGCCCAGGATACAAATAGTTTATGGCTATGAATGAAGTATTTGTTGTAGATAGTACCCCCTCCCTCCTTCAAAAAACCAAACACCATATCTGATGTTTGAAAATAATGGAGGAAAACCTCTTGTGTATATTCTTAAAGAATAAATCCGTTTAGACAATAGGTGTATCACAAACAGACTCAAAACATAACATGACTCCTTTGGAAATGATCACTGGCCTTTAAGTGCCAATATAGCACTGGGATAAGGTTCCATTTTCAAACTTATATCATATTTGTATATTAGATTTAATAGCAAAGTATATTTATTGAACTCCAGTAGGGCTATTTGTTGGTAAGCTCTTTAGCTCCAATTTCCCTTAAGCGAAGTTTTTTGAGAGGTGAAATGACCCAAAGGAAAGGTTTCCTATGCTGGTTGAGAAGGCATGTACTTGCTACCGAGCAGTATGTCAGGAGAGAAGGAATATTATCTAGGTTTAGCTTTGATAAGTACTATCAGTAATGAATAAATAACATGGGAAACAATATCTTTAATGTTGCTTGTCCTGGCAAACAGGGAATCTTAAGAGCTGTTAGGAAGCAGCACTTGATGCAACGGATGTTTTGAAAAGAAAAAAATTGGTAATGTGATTGTATAGAAAGTAAAGGTAGGATGCTCAGGTTTTCTGCATAGTTCTTAACTAATCTTGTCTGCAGTTTGGTATTGATAACATTAGCATGGCCACTTACGTTAAATACACAATAAGATACATTTAGAAATCCTTAATGCACTGGTTAGGTCAGTGATATCACTGTTTGACTTAATTATCACAATTTCCCCAGTGGTAACCTTACCTTGGAAACTATCAAATATAAACACATTTAACTAAGCCAGTGACTTGCTCCTAAGTTAAGGATTTTCTAAATGGTATTTGCGTGCCCATAAACACTGATTTTTTTTTTAAAAAAAGGAAACTTAGTAATTATTTGATGGATAACAAAAAGCATCATCTATCACTAACATTGCTTGTTCATGTAATCCATGATAATTTGGCTTGGCATGCCAGTCTTATAATTAACATAGTTTAAATTTGATGCAATTTAAAATATAACAAGAGACTTAAAATCTTTATTATAAATTAGATGCCATATTACTTAGTGGAGAAAAGGAGCATTAGGCATTAATGGCATGGATCTAACTGCAGTGAGGGTGATTATTTAATTAAATTCCGAGTGGAATATATTTTTTGTTTATTTATCATGAAATTGGTGCTGACATGTAATGACTTCACAAGTTTTGTGAGGGAAAACTGAAAAAGGAAGTAACATAAATTTGGTGGGTTTTTTTTTGAGATGGAGTTTTACTCTGTTGCCAGGCTGGAGTGCAGTGTTGTGATCTCAGCTCACTGCAACCTCCACTTCCTGGGTTCAAGCAATTCTCAAGCCTCAACCTCCTGAGTAGCTGGGATTATGAGTGCCTGCCATGACATCCAGCTAATTTTTGTTTTTGATGGTGATTGGGTTTCATCATATTGGCCAGGCTAGTGTTGAACTCCTGATCTCAAATGATCTGCCCACCTTGGCCTTTCAAAGTGCTGGGATTACCGGTGTGAGCCACTGTGCCTGGCCACGAAGTAATATAAAATTAAATTGGTAATAATGCAGATGATTAGGCCTCATGGAACCATTATCAAAAGACTAATTGGCCTGGCACAGTGGTTCATGCCTGTAATCCCAGCACTTTGGGAGGCAGAGGCAGGCAGATCACTTGAGGTCAGGAGTTTGAGACCAGCCTGGTCAACATGGTAAAACCCTGTCTCTACTGAAAATACAAAAATTAGCCTGGTATGGTGGCGGGTGCCTGTAATCCCAGCTACTTGGAAGGCTGAGGCATGAGAATCGCTTGAACCTGGGAGGCAGATGTTGCAGTGAGCCGAGATTGCGCCACCACACTGTAGGCTGTGTGACAGCAAGACTCCAACTCAAAAAAAAAAAAAAAAAAAAGAAAGAAAGAAAAAAGACTAATTATTTTGTATCTTGAAATTTAAAAACCAACTTTTCTCTTTCTCCTTTGTGACATTAGAGCAGTAGTTCTATAACTTCATTGTAAGAATCACCTGGAGAATTCATTAAAGATGCAGATTCGGGGCCACATGTTAAATTCTGATATAGTAGGTCCTGTAATAAGGCCTAGGAATGGCCATTTTAAACAGTACACTAGGTGGTTTTGATATAGATACAAGGACTCTAATTTAGAGGAACACTAGATGTTTCTCAATTAGACTTGTAGACACCTAAGCACCTGCACTAGAGCTACAATGAAGATCTGTAGATATATGGTTCTGTAGAATTTAAATTAAGTCTTAGGCCCTCAGAAGTTAAATTCGTATCCCATCTAAGCCAACTTCATTTTTCACTAAGTTAGAATGAATTCCTAGTATTCCAGTATTATACAGAATGAAGTACTACTACTAATCACATAGAAGTTATTACTGTGATATAAAAAAGAAATAGATCCTTAATTAAAAATTAGTCACTCATATTTGGTGTTGAATAAGAAGTTTCTAGCGTTAACTATCTTGAGTGCATTAAAAATGCTTTCAGAGCAATAAGATAAGCTACAAATTAACAGTGACAGAAATGAAAGAGGGGATATACTACAGTCACTATGGGTATTAAAAGGCTAACTAGAAAACACCATGACCAACTCAAGGATTGTATATTTAACAACTTAGATGAAACAAATTCCTTGTAGGATACAAACTAGAAAGCTCACTGAATAAAAACTAAATAGACCCATATTTATTAAGGAAATTGAGTTTGTGTTTAAGTTAAAAACCTTCCTAGAAAGAAAACTACAGGCCCAGATAACATCAATGATGAATTTTACTAAACACTTAGGGAGAAATAATACCAATTCTAAACAATCTCTTCTAAGAAGCAGAGGAGGAGGAAACACTTCCCAACTCATTTTATTTGGCCAATATTACCCAAAGATACTATAAGAAAAAAACTGTAAAACAATGTCTTCATGTGCTAACATCTGTAGTTAAGTTAGCCATTCTTTTTATATGAAATAATGGGAATTGGTATATTTCTTCGATTTCATTTATCTGTGTCTTTGCTAACATACCACCTGTAACAAATTCAATCTAGATGCTATCTGTCCACTCAACGCATATTTTCATTCTATTCAAGCCATTTTTGCTCTTCAAGTAATTTCATCACTTTGGAATCACAGCATTGCAAGCTATTTCAAAAAAGTTTTGTGTGGTTGGATTGTGCTAGCTACTTTTAAATTTATAAAAAATGCCCCATACATTTTCTTGCTTGTCTGGGAAATATAGTTGCTATCTAACCGAAAAATAAGAGGGCATTATTAAAGTAACTCTTTAAGCATTCTACTAAATGTTTGACTTCCATTAATCATATTTCTTGTAGTAGCTGTAGCTATTATACTATATATGTAAAACAGAACAGGTTCTCTATATGCAAATGACGTTTTCATTTAATGTACCAAATTGTGTATCTATCTAACTTTTATAATATAGGTTAAACAGATCCTTTCTAAGATGGCATTATCTAATCTTTAAAGTATGAATATGTGTCTAAGTTATTGTTTATAAACAGAAGAGACTATAATTAAAATATAGAGGAGATTCCAAGTGACCATCATGTTACTTTTAAAATTTGAAACACAATGAAACAGAAGATTCAGTCATAAGAAGATGCTTGAAAAACAATCCAAGTATCCAGTACAGTGGCTATAAAATGTTATTTCATCATTTAATCAATCTTAATCATTTTGAGATGAAGAGACTTCAATTTTACACTGCTTGCACTTTATTTTATACAGACATTTCATCAATTATGAGGTGCAAACCTTCTGAATATAGCTTTCATTCAAACAATTTGTCATGGCAATAAATAATTATGCATTGAAAAACCAGTTTTTGTATTTGATTTAATGCACTCTTACATTTAAGAAATTATACATACATTCTTGAATTTCAACTTACCAAAATAGGATAGCTTTTATTTAACAGCCTAAGCTTTTGTTTTCCTGACAAAATACTGAAACTTCTTGTTACATTCATGCTGCAAAATTGTTTACAACCTCAACTTTCTCACTACTTTGCTGATAACTAAGTGTGATTACATGGAGAAAGTTTTATAACAGTAATACATAATTTAGTTTGAAATCACATCAGAAGATAGAAATTATTTAAATATACTTTATCAAAATAAGTGGCTTATACAATGGGGAAAAAAAAAGAACCAGGAGTTTTTGGCTTATAATTAGAAAATAAGTATTATCCTTAGTTTAGAATTAATGAAAAAAACCAATAACCCAAAATGTAAAACCAACTCTGATCTGTTTAGTACCTGAAAGACATGTATGTTTGTAGGCATAATATACAAACACAGACACAAACCATTATAGCAATTTTGAAAACAACTAGAAAGCTTATACTGTGTTAGCAAATATCAGGTTATAGGATGACTACCCCCATTGTTTTAAGTAAACTTTTTCTGTTGACTGAATAGCTAGGAAAAAAACTGGACTAAGCTGAAATATTTCTTTTTTTTTTTTTTTTGAGGCGGAGTTTCGCTCTTGTTACCCAGGCTGGAGTGCAATGGCGCGATCTCGGCTCACCGCAACCTCCACCTCCTGGGTTCAGGCAATTCTCCTGCCTCAGCCTCCTGAGTAGCTGGGATTACAGGCACGCACCACCATGCCCAGCTAATTTTTTGTATTTTTAGTAGAGACGGGGTTTCACCATGTTGACCAGGATGGTCTCGATCTCTTGACCTCGTGATCCACCCGCCTCAGCCTCCCAAAGTGCTGGGATTACAGGCTTGAGCCACCGCGCCCGGCCTTAAGCTGAAATATTTCTTAAAAAAATATTGAAAAGTTCTGAGAAGCAACTGTTATCTTCTACATTGAGGTCAGCAGACTATATCCTGCAGGCCAAATCTGTCCAGCTGCCTTTTGTGTTTTTTTTTGTTTTGTTTTGTTTTTGAGAGAGTCTTGCTCTGTTGCTCAGGCTAGAGTGCAGTGGCATGATCTTGGATTATGGCAATTTTCAAGTGATTCTCCTGCCTCAGCCTCCAGAGTCCAGCTGCCTCTTTTTGTGTATACCACTGTACTTTTTTTGCCTACTGTCTGCTCTTGCAGTATAATGGCAGAGTTCAGTATTTGTGACAAAAAACCATATGGCCTGCAAAATCTAAAATATTTAGTATCTTGTACCTTACATAAAAAGTTTGCTGACTCCTGTTCTAGATACTTGCTAGGGACAAATGGTTTCAAATACATAAGCTTTTGGAGAACAAAGTCCAATGGTCATCTAAAATGAAATGAAATAATAGGTGTAGAAAACATACACATGTTCATTTCGAACATAATTTACAAGATAAAATCAGATCTCTTCAAAACAAATAATATTTTAACCATTTTACAGGAGAACATATTTGTTGCTGACATCATCATTTACAAAGGTGACAAAAAGAGCAGTTCTGTGAAACTAAATGAAAAGCATAACATTGGAAATTTCCTTCAGCTTTCCACTTTAATGGCCGAAGATACCACACAGACTTGTGCAATGTCATCATATTCATATGTTCTCTTTAAGAATGTGTCTGTTAGTCTTAAGCCGGAGACACTCTATTGAGAGAGAGAGAGAGAGGGAGAGAGAGAGAGAGAGATGAGTCTTAAGTTTTCATTCATTTAGAGAAAATATGGATATTACAAATGACTTGTAAGTTAATAGCCCCCAAATCTTGGAATTTCTGAAAAGACAGCATACTTGCAGACCCTGCACTGAAGAAAGCAGAGTAAGGGCAAGACAGAGCGAAGAACTTGGATGCAGCTTTCCCAGCTGTCTTCCTGAAATTCCACACCAGTGGATGGAATTGGTATTGCACATTTCCAAAACCAGATCCATAGTCCTTTCACTGCTGGAGGAATCAGAATAGGAATAAATCTTGTTCATTTCACAAAGAAGTTCTGCGATATTTCTACTAGTGACAGTAAACTTGTTTTCTCAGTATCCAGGAGAATAAAAACCAGAAAGAGAGAAGCTATTATAACATTTTAATTTCACTTAAAATAGAATCAGGACTATGAAAGAAAGTCACACCTTCTAGCACTTAAAACGGCCTCAGACTAATCTGCCTGTCTGGATGTTGGCCTCCTAGTTCTATCATTCAACACTGGCCTCCTGATCTGCTGTTAACAGTTTTACCATTTTTCTGGGAGACTTCCAGACATTTGTGTCTAATCTTGTTGCCATATATTCTCACTGTTTCTGTTAGGTACTCTACAGAAAAAGAAGAAAACAGCTGATTCTGGTCTAGTCCTTTTGATATTTTATGTTACTTTACCATAACCTGGAAAACAACTGGCAAGATGCGTAAGACATAAATACTATTCAGCTTTGCTAACTGAATTATTTACCAAGAAAAGACTCCTTCTGCTTATAACAGATATCACCAGTTCAGCTTAACTATGTTAAGTTAAAAAAAACTTAATAAAAGTATATGCACATTGTTCTTTTTTAAATAACCGAAAGGCTCATAATGAAAAATAGTCTCCTCCCACCATTCATGGCTACTTATGGCTCCTTTAGCTGTTTATTCTTATACTTGGCTCCATATTTTAAACTGCTTATTTAAATTTTATTTTTTTTTGTAGACATATTGACCTTACAGTATTAACTTTTATATATCTGTATCTCCCTAACAAACATTTGAGATGCCTACTATGTGCCAGCGACCAGGGTAGATGCACTACATGACTATTATTAATTTCACAAATTAATGTGCATATCTCTGGTGTGTAGGGGGAGAGAATAACATTTATATAGAAAGGAAAATAAAGATAATAATACAAATAATAATACAAACCAAGTGGTAAGGCAAGTAGGAGCAGAGGTAATAGGACTGGAACTTAATTCTACTTTTTTCTAGTTTCAAAGCCCTGTGCTCTTTGCTTCCTGATAGTTCAGATTATGCTCTCTCTCTATTGTCAAAACCCTGTTTTTGAATCAATGATTTCCCCTTACATTAAATCCATAAACAATGTTTGGTTTCTTAATACTCAAGATACAGCTCAAGTACACGTATGCCTCAAAAAATCTTACTACTTTAACTCATAATGTATTAATATGTAAGAACCTATTAGAATTCATGTTTTGGTGAAGGAAGTATAAACAATGAAAAGAGAAACTTTGAAGTCAAATATACCTGGTTTAAAATTCTGGCCCCATCTTTTCTAGCCCTCTGAGATTGACTAAGTCACTTAGCCTCTCTGAGTTGGCTTTCTCTTGCATAGAATGTGAACAATGAATACCCACCTCATAGGGTGTAACGCGTGAATGAAAATACAGAAGATGCATAATACAATAGGCTTTTACAAATATGTAATTATACTGCTACCAGATGAAAAATTTTACAGTACTCAATATCAACATTAGAGAAGGCTATATGTCAAGAGGAAACTCAAAAGGAGATAGTAATAAAAAGATTTAAAAATTCTATTCTAGGTAGGTGAGGTAGAAAGGACATCCATCCTCAAACGGTGGCATTACCTGCAGTTTGTTATTTTACAGGTAATATGAAAAGGTTCTTCGAGGTTTACGGTATCTGGTATTGCCTCCAAAGACAATCTAACATCTCCATAACCTGGAGCCTAAGAAAACAAGCAACACAGTTAATATATATCCATCATAAAACCTTTCCATTTTAATGAAGGCACCACAGGAGCACATTCACTCAACAGTTGTTGGGTTTCTAAGCTGATGTTCTAAGAAAATACTTCTAATTCCCTTTACTCTTACCTCATTATATGTTCTTTTGCAGCGACTGCCTGTGGAATAGCCTGGCAGACCTGGACTGTATTTGTTATATAAATAATTACTCCATGTTCAGTAGAGGTAAAATGAATCTCACAGGTAAGTAGTAAGTCAAGAAAATTCAGGGAGTTGAAGGGACACTTTCCAGATACTGTAGCCTCTATATCTATACTTTAAATAGGTCACATTATTTTCTAAAGAAAGAGGAGGATGATGTTAAAAGGAGCCAGGAAGAAAATCATGACTTTTCACAAGACACACAGATTAGGATGGACTATAACAACACTGAGGCTTGGAACAGGCCATGGCAGAAAAATAACTAATAGCTATATTTAAGTGGTCCTAGGGATCATCACTGTCATCATCTTTTTTTTTTTTAAATTACTGCCTCAAACAGTGAAAGAAAAGTACAACTTAGAGTATGTCAAAACATGTAATATTCAGCATAAAGGAAGGAGGATCCTGTCATATATTCTTATAAGCATAAGAAAAAGAAGTCTGGTAGCTATCTCTATTCTCAGAGCAGAAATTAGGTAAAATATGTAACCGATGCATATAAGATAACTTTAGTAGAACTCACCTTCTGAGGAGATGCCTCAGGATTTTTTTTTTTCTTTTTTTTTGAGACAGAGTTTTGCTTTTGTTGTCCAGACTGGAGTGCAATGGCACAATCTCAGCTCACTGCAACCTCCACCTCCTGGGTTCAAGCAATTCTCCTGCCTCAGTCCCCCGAGTAGCTGGGATTACAGGCATGAGCCACCATGCCCAGCTAATTTTTATATTTTTAGTACAGACAGAGTATCACTGTGTCGGCCAGGCTGGTCTCAAACTCCTGACCTTGTGATCTGCCTGCCTCGGCCTCCGAGAGTGCTGGGATTACAGGTGTGAGCCACCGTGCCCGGCTGCCTCAGGATTTTTAACATCTTAAAAACGGTATGAACTCAGCAGGTGAATGCAGTAAGTCCAAGAGTTTCAGGACATTGCAAAATAGAAAACCTTAATGTATTTGGATGTCAGAAGAAGAGCGACCATGTGTTACTAAAGGAGGGACACTTGATAAGCAGTTATTTCAATTTGTTTGATAAAGAACACATGTATTAAGGATAAATTAACACTGACCATTTTTCATTCATGGCAACACCAGTTTTCTACCCACATTTCTGTGAAACTATTAATCTTTTCTTCTCTAGTAATATTAATGCCTTTTATAGTGCTCCAGTTTTTTTGCTGATGGATGTAAAAATATTTAAGTTGTTTTAACTGCCTGTCTCCCACACACCCCAGTGAAGTTTTTTTCCAAACTCACCATTCTTTGAAGTTGGCTGGTCTGTAACCTTCCCCTTTCACCTAGATTTGTTTTCCATACTATATCCAGTTTTCCAATTACTGTTACTCCCTTAATGATGCCTGCTTTTTCTGCAAATTCCTTCTTGGGCTTTAGGCAGTATAAGTACTGGCGTGTGTCCATTGGCTGTAAATATGCTCTTGACCTAAACGTAGATACACTGAGAGGGGCAGAGACAGAGATAAAGAAAATTCTCTAGCATCTTTTAAAAAAGAAACCATGGCTGTGATTGTTCCTTTGGATAGGAACTAGATGATGTACCTCCAAAGATCAACAGTAGAACATGTTAGTGATTTCAAAACAAATAAAAATAATCACTGCGATGATTTATTTTTCTTTAATTTTTTTCAGTTGACATAGAAAATACTGAGGTTCTATATAGTAATTGGTACTCCAAAATGGGGTCCTTTTTTTAAAAAAATAGTTTTAAGAGACCAGGTCTTTCTCTGTCACCCAGGCTAAAGTTCAATGGTATGATCATAGCTCACTGTAACTTATAATTTCTTGGCTCAAGGAGGTTCCTTATAATAGAATATAACATATTACTTATAAAATTGGATGTGTATCTATCAAGTGAAAAGTGCAATAGAAACCAGAACCTGAAGTATCTGGTCTCTTTTCTCTAAAATTATCAACAGACTAATAAGAGATATACCATTCTAAACACATTTCAAAATGAACTAAAATATCTACAAAAGAATGGAAAATTGTTTTCCTCAATTGTAATCAACCTAGTAATATAAAAGCAAACTTTTCATTCCTAATTAAAAAATTCAGGTACTTTCCCAACGTATTACCTCCTTCTTCTTCTTCTTTTTTTAAATACAGGGTTTCTCTGTCACCAGGCTGGAATGCAGTGGTACAATCATGGCTCAATGCAGCCTTGAACTCGTGGGCTCGTGATTTTCCTGCCTCACTCTCCCAAGGAGCTAGGACTGCAGGAATGTACACCATGCCCATGTTTAATTAAACATGTTTTGATAGTAATGGAGTTTCTCTAAGTTGCCCAGGCTGGTCTAGAACTCATGGCCTCAAACGATCCTCTGGCCTCAGCCTCCCAAAGGGTTAAGATTACAGGCATGAGCCACCACACCCAGCCCATTACCTTCTTATCAGTATTACTGTCAACCCTACATTTATTCTTCCTCTTTTAAATTAGCTATGGAAAGGCATATGTATTTTTGTTTCACAAAATACTAAATCATCTATTCCTATATCCTTTTCTTTTGATGTTGAGAGAGTATTTCTATTTTAAACCCACATTCACCCTTACTCTTTTTAACTTCTCCACCATTCCTTCTCATTCCTCCATTTTATCATTTGCAGAATAGCAATGATAGGTTTCATATTTACCTCACTGGATTTTTATGAGACTTAAAAGACCAAGTGCTTTGTATACTAAAACATACAATGAATGCAAAGGGCTAGGATCTTTATTTTTATGTAATGCAGGGATGAATAGATGGAGCATAGAGATTTTTGGTAAAGTGAAACTATTTTGCATAATATAGTAATGGTGGATACACGTTATACATTTGTCAAAACCTACAATACTTGCCTATAGTTCCAGCTACTTGGGAGAATCGCTTGAGCCCAGAAATCTGACTTTAGCCTGGGCAACATTAGTGAGACCTGTCTCTTAAAACAAAACAAACCAAAAACCAAAAATAATAAAATATACAACAAAAAGTGTGAACTCCAATGCAAATTACAGACATTAGTTAATAGTAAGTGTCAACACTGGCTCATCAACTTAGTAAATGTACCACATTATAACAAGATGTAGATCAGCCACAGTGGCTCATGCCTATAATCTCAGCATTTTGGGAGGTTGAGGTGGGCAGATCACTTGAGGCTGAGGCACCAGAATTGTCTGAACCCAGAAGGTGGAGGTTGCAGTGAGCCTAAATCAAGAGAGTGCCACTGCATGCCAACCTGGGTCACAGAGCTTGACTCTGTTTCTAAATAAATAAATAAAGGAGGGAGGATCCAAGGTGGCCAAATAGGAACAGCTCTGGATTGCAGTTCCCAGTGAAAATGCAGAGGGTGAGTGATCACCGCATTTTCAAATGAATTTTTACTGCCCATAGACCAGGAGATTCCCAGGCGGAAAAGTGCCATGAGTCTCCAGTGTGGCTGTTTCAGCTGGCGCAATGGGTGTCTGCACAAAAACTCACACAAATCCGGGCATCAGCAACTGGAACGCCTGGGAGACAGAGTCGCCTGTTCAACTGAAAAAAAGGGGGCTGAAACGGAGCCAGGTGATCTGGCTCAACTGGTCCCAGCCCCACAAAGACCAGCAATCTGTAATGCTCTGGATTGAGTTTCACAGCAAGCACAGCTGGACCCAGGATGGTCTAGCTCTGTGGGGGGAAGGGCATCCGCAATTACTGAGGCAGTCCACCACTACCAAGGCAGTCTGCCATTACTGAGGCAGACCTCCATTACCGAGGCAGTCCATCATTACCAGGGCAGTCTGCCATTACCAAGGCAGTCCGCCATTACCGAGGTAGTCCGCCATTACCAAGCAATCTGCCATTACCAAGGCAGTCTGCCATTACCAAGGCAGTCCGCCATTACCAAGGCAGTCCGCCATTACTGAGGCAGACAGCCATTACCGAGGCAGTTCTAACTATACCCCTATAAACAAAACTGCAAGGAAGTTCACACAGCTGCTGGGCAAAGCCCACGGCAGTTCAGCAACGCCTCTGCTGGCAGACTGTGACTAGGCTACCTCGTCGCCGGCAAGAGCATCTCTGAAAAAAGGCAGCAGAATGACAGGAACTTATAAATAAAGCCCTACCTTCCCAGGACAGAGCACCTGGGAAAAAAAGGCGGTTATGCATTCTGCTGCAACAGACTTAAACATATCTGCCCAACAGTTCTGAACAGAACAGAGCTCACAGCTCATCACTTGAGCTCCTATAAGGGACACACTGTCTCCTCAAGCAGCTCCCTGACCCCCGTATATCCAAAGAGACACATCATAAAGGAGAGCTCAGGCTGACATCTGATGGGTATCTTTCTGGGACAAAGATAACAGAAGAAGAAACCGGCAGCAACCCTATATTCTGCAGCCGCTGCAGGTGATCCCCAGGCAAGCAGGGTCTGGAGTGGACCTCCAGCAGTCCTTCAGCAGCGGGGGCTGACTGTTAGAAGGAAAACTGAGAAACAAAAAGAAATAACTTCATGAGCAACAAAAAGGACGTCCACTCAGAGATCCCATCTGAAAGTCACCAACCACAAAGACCACAGTTATATAAATCCACAAAAATGGGAAGAAACTAGTGCAAAAAGGATGAAAATACCCAAAACCAGAATGCCTCTCCCCCTCCAAGGGGTCACAACTCCGCACCAGGAAGGGAACAAGGCTGGATAGAGAATGAGTCTGATGAATTGACAAACAGGCTTCAGAACGTGGGTAATAAACTTCTCTGAGTTAAGAGGTCATGTTCTAACCCAATGCAAAGAAACTAAGAACCTTGAAAAAAGGTTTGATGAAGTGCTAACTAGAATAAACAGCTTAGAGGGGAATATAAATGACTTGATGGAGCTGAAAAACACAGCATGAGAACTTCGTGAAGCATACACAAGTTTCAATAGCTGAATTGACCAAGCAGAAGAAAGGATATCAGAGATTGAAGATCAACTCAATGAAATAAAACGAGAAGGCAAGATTAGAGAAAAAAGAGTAAAAAGAAATGAACATAGCCTCCAAGAAATATGGGACTATGTGAAAAGACCTAATCTACGTTTGATAGGTGTACCTGAATGTGATGGAGAGAATGAATCCAAGCTGGAAAACACTCTTCAGGATATTATCCAGGAGTATTTCCCCAACCTAGCAAGGCAGGCCAACATTCAAGCCCAGGAAATACAGAGAACACCACAAAGATATTCCTCAAGAAGAGCAACCCCAAGGCACATAATCGTCAGATTCACCAGGGTTGAAATGAAGGAAAAAATGCTAAGGGCAGACAGAGAGAAAGGTAGGGTTACTCACAAAGGGAAGCCCATCAGACTCACAGCAGATTTCGCAGAAACCCTAGAAGCCAGAAGAGAGTGGGGGCCAATATTCAACATCCGTAAAGAAAAGAACTTTCAACTTAGAATTTGATATCTAGCCAAACTAAGCTTCATAAGTGAAGGAGAAATGAAATCCTTTATGAATAAACAATTGCTCAGAGATTTCATCACCACCAAGCCTGCTTTACAAGACAGCTCCTGAAAGAAGCACTAAACATAGAAAGGAACAACTAGTACCAGCCACTCCAAAAATGTACCAAATGGTAAAGAGCATCAACACAATGAAGAAACTGAGTCAACTAATGGGCAAAACAACCAACTAGCATCAAAATGGCAGGATCAAATTCACACATAACAATATTAACCTTAAATGTAAATGGGCTAAACGCCCCAGTCAAAAGACATAGACTGGCAAATTGGACAAAAAGCCAAAACCCATCGATGTGCTGTATCCAGGAAACCCATCTCACATGCAAGGATACCCATAGCCTCAAAATAAAGGGATGGAGGAAGATCTACCAAGGAAATGGAGAGCAAAAAAAAGTAGCAGTTGCAATTCTAGTCTCTGATAAAATAGACTTCAAACCAACAAAGATCAAAAGAGACAAAGAAGGGTATTACATTACATAATGGTAAAAGGATCAATGCAACAAGAAGAGCTAACGATCCTAAATATATACGCACCCAATTCAGGAGCACCCAGATACATATTAACGAATTACAAAGAGACTTAGACTCCCACACAATAACAGTGGGAGACTTTAACACTCCACTGTCAATTTCAGACAGATCAACAAGACAGAAAATCAACAAGGATATCCAGGACTTGAACTCAGACCTGGAACAAGCAAACCTAATAGACATTTACAGAACTCTCCACTCCAAATCCACAGAATACACATTTTTCTCAGCACCACATCACACCTACTCTAAAATTGACCACATAATTAGAAGTAAATCACTCCTCAGCAAATGCAAAAGAAGAGAAATCGTAACAGTCTCTCAGACCACAGTGCAATCAAATTAGAACTCAGACTTCAGAAACTAACTCAGAACCACACAACTTCATGGAAACTGAACAACTGACTCCTGAATGTTGACTGGATAAACAATGAAATTAAGGCAGAAATAAAGATGTTCTTCGAAACTAATGAGAATGAAGACACAATGTACCAGAATCTCTGGGACGCATTTAAAGCAGTCTCTAGAGGAAAATATATAGCAATAAATGCCCACATGAGAAGCAAGGAAAGATCTAAAATCGACACCCTATCATCAAAATTGAAAGAGCCAGAGGAGCAAGATCAAAAAAACTCAAAACTAGCAGAAGACAAGAAATAACTAAGATCAGAGCAGAACTGAAGGAGATAGAAACACAAAAAAAAAACCTTCAAAAAATCAACAAATCCAGGAGCTGGTTTTTGAAAAGATCAACAAAATAGACCACTAGCCAGATTAATAAAAAAGAAAAGAGGGAAGAATCATTCAAATAGATGTAATAAAAAAGATAAAGGGGATACCACCACTGATTCCACAGAAATACAAACTACCATCAGAGATTACTACAAACAACTCTATGAACATAAACTAGTAAACCTGGGAGAAATGGATAAATTCCTGGACACTTACACCCTCCCAAGCCTAAACCAGGAAGAAGTCGAAACCCTGAATAGACCCATAACAAGGGCTGAAGTTGAGGCAGCAATTAATAGCATAGCAACCAAAAAAAGCCCAGGTCCAGATGGGTTCACAGCCGAATTCTACCAGAAGTACAAAGAGGAGCTGGTACCACTCCTTCTGAAACTTCCAAACAATTCAAAAAGCAGGAATCCTCCCCAAATCATTTAATTAGACCAACATCATCCTGATACCAAAACCCAGCAGAGACTCAACAAGAAAAGAAAACTTCAGGCCAATATCCATGATGAACATAGATACAAAAATCTACAATAAAATACTGGCAAACTGATTGCAACAGCACATTATAAAGCTTATCCATTATGATCAAGTAGGCTTCATCCTGGAAATGCAAGGCGTTCTATATATGCAAGTCTATAAATGTAATTCACCACATAAACAGAACCAAAGACAAAAACCACATGATTATCTCAACAGATGCAGAGAAGGCCTCTGATAAAATTCAACAGCCCTTTATGCTAAAAACTCTCAATAAACTAGGTATCAGTGGAACGTATCTCAAAATAATAAAAGCTATTTAAGACAAACCCACAGCAAATATCATACTGAATGGGCAAAAACTGGAAGCATTCCCTTTGAAATCTGGCACTAGACAAGGATGCCCTCTCTCACCACTCCTATTCAATATAGTACTGGAAGTTGTAGCCAGAGCAATCAGGCAAGAAAAAGAAATAAAGGGTATTCAATTAGGAAAGGAGGAAGTCAAATTGTATCTATTTGCAGACAACATGATTGTATATTTAGAAGACCCTACTATCTCAGCCCAAAATGTCCTGAAACTGATAAGCAACTTCAGCAGTCTCGGGATACAAAATCAATGTGCAAAAATCACAAGCATTCCTATACACCAATAACAGACTTAAAGGGAGCCAAATCAGAACGTATTGCCATTCACAATTGCTACAAAGATAATAAAATACCTAGGAATACAACTAACAAAGGATGTAAAGGACCTCTTCAAGGAGAACTACAAACCACTGCTCAAGGAAATAAGAGAGGACACATATAGATGGAAAAACATTCCATGTTCATGGTTAGGAAGAAATCAATATCGTGAAAATGGCCATAAGGCCCAAAGTAATTTATAGATTCAACGCTATCCCCATCAAGCTACCAGTGACCTTCTTCACAGAACTTAAAAAAACCACCTTAAACTTCATATGGAACCAAAAGAGAGCCTGCATAGCCAAGACAATTCTAAGCAAAAAGAAAAAAGCTGGACGCATCATACTACCTGACTTCAAACTATACTACAAGGCTACAGTAATCAAAACAGCATGGTACTGGTACCAAAACAGAGATATAGACCAGTGAAACAGAACAGAGGCCTCGGAGGCAATGCCACACATCTACAACCGTCCGATCTTTGACAAACCTCACAAAAAAACATGCAATGGGGAAAGGATTACCTGTCTAATAAATGGTGTTCGGAAAACAGGCTAGCCATGTGCAGAAAGGAGAATCTGGACCCCTTCCTGACACCTTACACTGAAATTAACTCCAGATGGATTAAAGACTTAAACATAAGACCTAACACCATAAAAACCCTAGAAGAAAATCTAGGCAAAACTATTCAGGACATAGGCATAGGCAAGGAGTTCATGACTAAAACACCAAAAGCATTGGCAACAAAAGCTAAAATAGACAAATGGGATCTAATTAAACTCCAGAGCTTCTGCACAGCAAAAGAAACAATCATTAGAGTGAACTGGCAACCAACAGAATGGGAAAAAATTTTTGCAATCTACTCATTTGATAAAGGGCTAATATCCAAAATCAACAAAGAACTAAAACAGATTTACAAGAAAAAAACAAACGAACCCATTCAAAAGTGGGTGAAGGATATGAACAGACACTTTTCAAAAGAAGACATATATGAGGCCAACAAACACATGAAAAAATGCTCATCATCACTGGTTATTAGAGAAATGCAAATCAAAACTACACCGAGATACCATCTCACACCAGTTAGAATGGCGATCATTAAAAAATCTGCAGACAACAGATGCTGGAGAGGATGTGGAGAAATAGGAACACTTTTACACTGTTGGTGGGAGTGTAAATTAGTTCAACCATTGTGGAAGACAGTGTGGCGATTCCTTAAGGACCTAGTAATAGAAATTCCATTTGACCCAGAAATCCCATTACTGGGTATATATCCAAAGGATTATAAATCATTCTGCTGTAAGGACACATGCACACGAATGTTCATTGCAGCACAGTTTACAATAGCAAAGACTTGGAACCAACCCAAATGCCCACTGACGATAGACTGGACAGGGAAAATGTGGCACATATACACCATGGATTGCTATGCAGCCATAAAAAATGATGAGTTCGTGTCCTTTATAGGGACATGGATGAACCCGGAAACCATCATTCTCAGCAAACTGACACAAGAACAGAAAATCAAGCACTGCATGTTCTCACTCATAGGCAGGTGTTCAACAATGAGAACACATGGACACAGGGAGGGGAGCTTCACACACTGAGGTCTGCTGGGGGAGGACTAGAGGAAGGACAGTGTTGGGTAGGGAGTTGCGAAAGGAGAACATGGGGAGAAATGCCAGATATAGGTGATGGGGATGGAGGAAGCAAACTACCTTGCCATGTATGTACCCACACAACAATCCTGCATGTTCTTTACATGTACCCCAGAACCTAAAATGCAATAAAATATATATATTAAATAAATAAATAAATAAAAAGATGTAAATAGCAAGAGAAACTGTGAGGAGGGGAAGAGGGTATGTGAAAATCCTACTTTCTAATGAATTTTTCTATGAGGTTCAAACTTTTTTTTTTTTTTCCAGAGACGAAGCCTAGCTCTGTTGCCCAGGCTGAAGTGCAGTAGCGTGATCTTGGCTCACTGCAACCTCCACCTCTCAGGTTCAAGCAATTCTCATGCTTCACCCTCCCAAGTAGCTAGGATTACAGGCACCCACCACCACGCCCAGATAATTTTTGTATTTTTAGTAGAGATGGGGTTTCACTGTGTTGGCTAGGCTGGTCTTGAACTTCTGACCTCATGATCCATCTGCCTCAGCCTCCCAAAGTGCTGGGATTACAAGCATGAGCCACCACAACCGGCTTTCAAACTTCTTAAAAAAAAAAAGTCTATTAGTTAAAAAAAAAAACAAAAAACTGAAGAACAATGGATGTTAGAAAAGCATGTGTCTTTCAAAACAAGGATAAACACTCCACAATTAATATTTACCATTCTCCAGCTTGGCTGACTGAATTTAATTCTGTTACATTGTACATGATAGATGGCTCCAATGAAACTTTCTCCATAAACATAGGTGAGGTTGTAATATTCTGAATCTGGGCTTCCAGAAATACTTCATCAGTCTGAGGATAGGAAAGAAATATCCACCAAAGTGTGATGGCATTTAAAATATTTATCTCAACAAAAATATCTTATCTATATGAAGGAAAAATATTAACCACAAATGTGATTAGTTCATGCCTGCAAATCAAAGTAACCACAATTAATGCAAGAAAAGAAATCTTCACCCTATCATAATTAACAGGGGCAAAGTCAAGAGTTAGTCAACTGATACCTTGTCAAACAATGGATGGAGGATAACTATATTTTGTCTTAACATCCAAAAATACTTAACTGGAATTTCATTTACAAATATCCTAATTCTTTTTATTAGGTATTAAAATATTAAAATATGCCTTGGTATGATGACTATACCTATGCACCTATAATTTCAGTGTTAACATTAAGATAATTAAGTCTTCATTATCACACAGCAGTATAATTTTGATTGTCATCTTAACATCAATTTAGATAGTGTAGTGACCACTGGAATTATGAATTATTTTGTAATCTTGAAGAAATTAACTTTTTAAATTAATTTGCAAGTGGTCATTAGTGATTTCTTAGTTCATTTTAAGTGTGTGTGTGTGTGTGTGTGTGTGTATATATATATTTATTTATATATATATATTTTTCTTTTTTTTTTCTGAGACAGAGTCTCGCTCTGTTGCCAGGTGCCAGGCTGGAGTGCAGTGGTACAACGTCGGCTCACTGCAACCTCTGCCTCCTGGGTTCAAGCAATTCTCCTGTCTCAGCCTCCTGAGTAACTGGGACTACAGGTGTGCACTACCACAGCCAGCCAATTTTTCTATTTTTAGTAGAGATGGGGTTTCACCATTTTGGCCAGGATGGTCTTGATCTCTTGACCTCATAATCTGCCTGCATCGGCCTCCCAAAGTGCTGGGATTACAGGCGTGAGCCACCATGCCCGGCCAGTGTATACTGACGGCTAAAAAAAGTATATGTGAATTATACCTCACAATTTTAGTGCTTTTAAATCAGGCCAAAGGTAATTTGGAGCCCCAGTGACAGATTTTAAAGCTGATGCTATTCAGCAATATTTGTCAGTAGGTAATTTAAATACTTAACTTTATATAAATTAATTCCCTTAATTATGCTAAACAGTCTTTATTTTATGGTATTTGGTTATTGTTTTGTGTAATTGAAGGATAACAGACTAACTTATCTTTGAAACAAACCTACATAAAAAATGATATACTAAGGGTATTCAAGAATTTTTTTTTAAAGTTTCATAGTAATATGTTCACTACACATAAACAACATAAAATCAAGTATGACCAAAAAAATGTGGCACTGAAGAGCTTTTTGTTTTTACTTTTTTGAGACAGACTCTCACTCTGTCACCCAGGATGGAGCGTGGTGGCCTGATCTCAGCTCACTGCAACATCCGCCTCCCAGGTTCAAGGGATTCTCCTGCCTCAGCCTCCCGAGTAGCTGGGATTACAGGTGCACAACATCATACTGAACTAATTTTTGTATTTTTAGTAGAGATGGAATCTCACCATGTTGGCCAGGCTGGTATAGAATTCCTGACCTCAAGTGATCCACCCACCTCGGCCTCCCAAAGTGCTGGGATTACAGGCGAGAGCCACCGTGCCCAGCCTATGAGCATTTTTTTTCCCCCAAAACTGAGTCTTGCTCTGTTGCTCAGGCTAGAGTGCAGTGGCATGATCTCAGCTCACTGCAACCTCTGCCTCCCAGGTTGAAGTGATTCTCCTGCCTCAGCCTCCCCAGTAGCTGGGACTACAGGCGTGTACCACTATACCTGCCTAATTTTTGTATTTTTATTTATTTATTTATTTAAGATGAAATAAAATGAAAATAATTTGCAAAAATATAATAATGAAGTTATAATGTATTGTTATCTAAAACAAAACAGATACTTTAGTCTTGGGACATGTGTTCAAATGAAAATAGAAATAAAGTTGCCCAGGCTGGAGTGTGGTGGCGTGATCTTGGCTCACTGCAATACCTGCCTCCTAAATTCAAGTGATTCTCCTGCATCAGCCTCCCAAGTAGCTGTGATTACAGGCAAGCGCCACCAGGCTGGCTAATTTTTGTATTTTTTTGTAGAGATGGGGTTTTACCATGTTGGCCATGCTGGTCTCAAACTCCTGACCTTGTGATCCACCTGCCTCAGCCTCCCAAAGTGCTGGGATTACAGGCATGAGCCACTGTGCCTGGCTGAGCTTTTTAAACACTAACACCAGGAAAATGAAAATAATTTGCAAAAATATAATGATGAAGTTATAATATATTGTTATCTAAAACAAAACAGATACTTTAGTCTTGGGACATGTGTTCAAATGAAAATAGAAATAAAGTGATTTATTAGTTGAAAAAATATACCACTTAATGGCATTTTTTTGGTTACTTGTTCTAAAAAAAACTACATATATCCCATCAATCCATTGCTTTAAAAAAATAACCACAGACCCACATTTCAATTTTTAAAAATGAAATTTTCTGCATAAATTTAGGAGGAGCTTAGATAAAACGAAAGAAAAACAAGCAGCATAATGGAAAATCAAGTTAGTTTGAACAGTTAGTATAAAGCAATTTGATACTTTATAAATTAAGAATTCAGTGCTAAGGCAGTTGATGTTATTACACATATGTAATGTGTATAAGCAAATGCTGCTTATTGTAAATATAACTTTGAAAATAAAATTTTAGCTGACTTTGCTTTAGCAAATTTTGGGAAAATTTGCTTTTCTTCTGTTTAATTTTGTCAAGCAGCTATTGTTACCTGACCCAGACTTAAAACTAAAACCACTGTGCATCTGAAAATGAATTCTGATTTTATAGTCTACTCAAAGAACTGAAAGCTACGATAGTTGGGTGTTTTACAGTAAGATGATGAAAATCACATGGCCATTTTACACAAGGTTAACATATCTCTTTTAAAAAAATCTAAAGAAGAAAACACTGAAAATGAGAATTGTTTCAATATGACAATTTAACTTTTGAGCTAATTTTCCCCCACAGAATAAGAAAATTGATATAATATAAAAAGTACATAAAATTATGTATAATCTTTCTGAAATCACACAGGTGGTATTCACAACTAACTGTTTTTCCACTATGTTTTGTAAAGAGAGATTAATTAGGCAGAGTCAAAAAGTGGTGAGTAAGGAAAGTATAAAAGTTTATAATAAAAAATCAAATTACCACAGAACTGAGGTCACTCTAATGGAAAAATAAAAAAGAATAATTAGAAAAATCAGAGTTAAATGTTAAAGAAAAAAGAATTACTTTAAAATGCATTTCTGCATTTTTTAAATTTACTAAACAAGATAGCATTAGTAAATAAGAAAGTAAACAGGAAGCAACATAAAGAAATATGACAAACCATTTTTCTAAAAAGGTGAAACTGCTAAGGTTAAATGACAATGAAATGGAGAAGAACACTAAGGCTGAATACTCAAAACAGTAGCAAACTATTAAGGGCACATTTTGGGGCAGAGAGGTATACCCCATGACTTTCTAATTCTATAATTCTTTACCAACACTGTAATTCTTCATAGATAATTTAGGATGAATATATACTATCCTCCACATTCAGGATATATACTATATACCTTCTCTTAAATTTATATAATAATGGGATCCTTTTTTTAAGGACTGTCTTGGGCAATTAGAGTTCCATTGATTACTTCAGGGAATACAGGGCTGAACCACTTCAATAAATTGAGAATTTGTTCTCTTCTTCTTAGATTTCAGTTAGCCTTTTTTTCCCCATACATATTTCCTTAGCTGTTTATTGAGAGCAATCTCAAATGTCACCTTCATCAAATGCATAGCTGGAAATCATTTTTCACCTCTCTAGGTACCCAGAATTTGTTACTTCATGATTTGAAGTATATGTGTGGGAGGGGCTTGCATTATTGTTATGTCATGTCAGTCTCCTGTATGGGCTGCAGGTCCTTTAAGGCTTGGGAAGATGTTTTGTTTATATTTCTCTTCAGTACCTGCCATGGGCCTCCATACCCAGCAGGTGACCAAATGTTTCAATCCTAGCTTCTAGTCTCACCAATCTTCTTGCAGGGCTTCTTTTATCTTAGAAGACTATAACAAAGTTTTTCATGAACTTGTTTTCCTTTAGGTGATTCACATATAGCATTATTAGAAACAGTATCAAAAATATGTTTGAGACAGATGTGGGGTGAATAACTTTAACTGTAAAAGGACTATAGCACAGAGAAATAAGCATCACCTACTGATATTGCTGTGGTTTATTAACTCCTACAATCTACCTGAAATTCCTGGTTGGGGTCAACATAATCTACCTCATGCTAGTGGCTGAACAGTACTTGTTTGTCTAACAGGTAATATCAGTATCTTAGACCCACATGCTATTTGTTCGCTCCTAATTTTTAAAGTGAGATATATTTTCAAAAATTCAGAATTTTACTGAAATTATTTTGGTTGAAGTTTGTTAGCAAGGTTTAAAGATTATGTCAACATATAATGTTAACCGACAAAAGAAACAAATAAAATTGTCATGATTATAAAAACAGAATATTATATATAAGCAAATAAAGACTGCAAAAGAGTATGTATTAATGAAAAATCAATTACTTGGTGGGGTGGAATTGTGAATTCTTATTTCTTTATGGTGAGCATGTCACTTCTATAAATGTTTATAGAAAAACTAGCAATTAAAAAATTATTCACAAATCACTCTGAAGATTGGTTATATAAAACTACTTGACAGGTATCTTAGTGTATTACCATATTTTTAATGAAGAAAACCTAAAATAGCTTAATATGTGACTGTTAGGATAAATTACAGAAAAAAACCCCCACCTATTGCCCTTTTTAGAAATTAATTTTCTAACAGAATAGTTAACATTTTTCCCTCATACCATAAATGAAATCTTTTCCAGAAAAATGATGTTAGACTATGTAAATTTCACCATGCTGAATAGCTATACTGTAATTAATCAACAGTGTGCCATTAATAACAAAAAAAGAAGGAATAAATACATATTACTCCAACTCACCTATCCCCCACAAAAGAAATGTCAACTTTGTAACCATCTAGTAATCTCGATGATGCTCTTCCCTCTCATCAAATATCTATGCTCTTTCCTATGTACTTGATAGTCCATGTCCATTTGTAACCCTGCTTGAATGCCTTCACTGCTTTGACGCTTGTCTGTTTCCAACATGCATTCCTTTCAGACTCCAATCTAGTTTTCCTTCTCTTCCACAAAGCCTCTTTAAACTATTCCAAGATCTCATTCCCCTGAGCTCTTATATCACATCTTTTCAAATCATTCTCACTATACTGCACTCTAGGTAGTTTTGTTATTATATACATTTTTTCTTTCATCCTAACAGGTCTTTGCTGCAGGTTAGGTTCCTTAACGTTGGCATCTTAGAAATCCTAGTTATAGTACAAACTTTACTGAGTAAAAATTTAGTTTGTAGATGGTAAACATAAGTATCAAATTTGCCATGTGATTGAAAATGTCTGATCATCATCTGGTTTTACAGTAGTAGAGATATAATATTTATTTCAAAATACTGTATTTGGGTAACTTTGAATTTATCACTGTGGTATGAAACACATGATTTTGAAGGATAAGGGGCTATCAAGAGATCTGATTTTTCTGCAGCTCTAGAAGCCAAGATAAAACAGAATTTTAGAAAAAAAATCCAAGCAATGAATCGTTTATCCTATGACAAGTTCTATTTAATCTCTTTCTTTTATGGTAAAAGATAGAGTATCTTCTATTATAAAAGTTACTTCTATTTTTGCCAAACTTGTTTTTCCCAAGGAGCTTTTATTTATTTATTTATTTATTTATTTATTTTTTTGAGATGGAGTTTCACTCTTGTTACCCAGCCTGGAGTGCAATGGCCTAATCTCAGCTCACCGCAACCTCCGCCTCCTGGGTTCAGGCAATTCTCCTGCCTCAGCCTCCTGAGTAGCTGGGATTACAGGCACGCGCCACCATGCCCAGCTAATTTTTTGTATTTTTAGTAGAGACGGGGTTTCACCGTGTTGACCAGGATGGTCTCGATCTCTTGACCTCATGATCCACCCGCCTCGGCCTCCCAAAGTGCTGGGATTACAGGCTTGAGCCACCGCGCCCGGCCTCCCAAGGAGCTTTTAAAGCCATTATACCAAACTCAGAAACCTCTCTGGCTGGCACAATGACTTCCCTAGAAATAATTTAATGTGCTGAGCTTCACTTGTCAATATTTTTCAATGTGAATTTTGCAGGGTTAAATCTACTAATTCAATTTTTGTTATATCCAAAACCATATGTAAATATTCAACAGATTGCTAGTGTAACCACCACCATTAAATGGAATTAGAGGGCAATCATTTAATGAAAGGAAATGAAAGCCTTATAAAATTAACAATGAGAATAAAAGATCAAGACATACTGATTCCATGTAAGTTCAAAAAGATTATGAGACCTACAATACAATTATTCACTTTTAACTGAAATCTATGATTTAACTGAAATCAAATAATTTACAGTCACACTGGCAATTTGCTTCAGTATTAGAATTGTATATAAGAGATTTTTAGTAAAATAAGATCTTAATGTTTAATATGAAATCCCATTAAGCACTCAACACTTACCTCTGCATTGTAAAATTTGGTTTTCACATCCAATGGTTTGAGAACCTGGTTAAATAAAGCATATCAATCCGGAGATTGTTATCATGTGACCATTTATTTTTAATTTTTAAAATCACATAGCTTAAATTTGTCAAAGCCATTTTCCAATTTTAACTGTTAAAAGACTTTTCTAATAGGTATGCAATACTCTTGCAAAAAAAAAAAAAAAAAAAATCCCAAATGCATTTTTTGAAAGGCTACCATTATTTCTTGATTGGTTGATAGTTACATTACATGGGTTTTTGCTAACAAAATAATACTTTGTTAAACCAAACACATATATTTCATGTATTTTTCCATATGTACATTCACAAAAACTGCTAAAAAAGCAATTGAGCTGGGCACTATGGCTCATGCCTGTAATCCCAGCACTTTGGGAGGCTGAGGTGGGTGAATAACCTGAGATCAAGAGTTCCAGACCAGCCTGGCCAATATGGTGAAACCCCATCTCTACTAAAAATAGAAAAAGTAGTTGGTCATGGTTGTAGGTGCCTGTAATTCCAGGTACTCGGGAGGCTGAGGCAGGTGAATCACTTGAACCTGGGAGGCAGAGGCTGTGGTGAGCTGAGATTATGCCATTGCACTCCAGCGTAGGCAACAAGAGCAAAGCTCTGTCTCCAAAAAAAAAAAAATCACTCTTCTGGTCTCAAACTCATGATCTCAGGTGATCCGCCCACCTCGGCCTTCCAAAGTGCTGGGGTTACAGGTGTGAGCCACTGCCCCAAGGCCTACTTTTTATTTTCTTTCAAAGGGCATGCAAATGAGTGATGATTCACCCAAAAAAAAAAAAAAAAAAAGACTTTTTCCTATTACTATTACTTTTCTTCTACTTACAGAGGAATGAAAAAAAAAAAAACATGCAGCATCATATTTAGATCTATATTTATAATAGACATATGTGGTATTCACATTTCATCTCCACACTTAAATGTATTAAACCAGTGGTTTTTGACTATTTTTGATAGATGCTGAAAATTGTGTATTAATAACAAAACTCAACTTAAAAGTTCCAGTGATTCCTGGTCCTTGAAGGAAACTCAGTCTACTCACTTCAAGTCAATAGTCTCTCAATTTGATATTATTAATCCTCATTTTATCTGGACTTTACACTCATTTTATACGTTGTCTCCAGTGTGTGTTTTGTCAGGCCATAAAAACAAGCTATTTACTTTTTAGAGACAGTCTTGCTCTGTTGACCAAGCTGGAGTGCAGTGGCGTGGTCACAGCTCACTGAAGCCTTAAACTCCTGAGCTCAAGCGATCCTTCCGCCTTAGCCTCCCAAGTAGCTAGGATTACAGGCTTGTGCCACCTGTAGTCCTAGGTCATGCTGCCTGGGCTGATCTTGAACTGGCCTCAAGTGATCCTCCTCTGTTTGCTTTCCAAAGCGCTGGTATCATAGGTGAGAACCACCGTGCCAGACTCGGCTATTTTTTTTCTTTCATTTTGAATAAACATCTTCAAGTTTCATTACAAAAACATTATATTGGCAAAGATAACATCCCTGCTTTTATTTAACTTAATTTAGTCTGAGTTTAGACTGCTAGTCATGTGACAAATTCAAAAATATTGAGCTATCTGTTTTCCCTGCAGATAAACAGGAATAACTATATGTTATCTGGGGGAAAATGCACATAAAAACTATTTACCATTGTTATATTCGATACCTGAAATTTGAAGAATTTTCTAAAATACATTTTTTCTCCAGCCTGAGTTGTATAACTCACAGCACACACCAAGCTGAAACAAAAAGAGGTCTTAATGGTTCTGAATCATTTTTTATTTTAATAGCAATCAAACACACCTCAATTCTACTAACAAATTTGGAAAACACTTATCTATGGTATGGATGTGTGAGATTAGTGCATGGGAAAAAGTCAGAATAGATATATGGACATAACTACATGAAGAAGAAAGCTCTGATTAGTAAAATGAGATATAACGTTTTTGGGGGAGAAAATCAGAAACTTCCTGACTTCATCTGAAAGGTGAAATATATTCCAAAATAATTCTCAGAATAATCAAATATTTGAATGTATAACACAAGTTCATATAAACTAGAAGAAAAATATGGATGTAAAACTTCCAGCTGGGCATTTCTCACGCCTGTAATCCCAGCACTTTGGGAGGCCGAGGCGGGTGGATCACTCGAGGTCAGGAGTTCAAGACTAGCCTGGCCAACATGGTAAAACCCCATCTCTACTAAAATTACAAAAATTAGCCAGATGTGATGGCAGGCACCTGTAATCCCAGCTACTCGAGAGGCTAAGGCAGGACAATCGCATGAACCTGGAAGGCACAAGTTACAGTGAGCCCAGATCATGCACTGTACTCCAGCTTGGGCAACAAGAGCAAAACTCTGTCAAAAAAAAAAGAAATCCAGGATAGATTTCTTAACATAAATGCAACAGGAAATACTGTTATGTAAAAAAGTTTAAATGGAATCAAAAACACGAAAATAATTACAAAGTAGAAACAAACTAGGATAAAATACTTGTAATAATAAGAGAAAGTGGTTACATTTTAATATTTAATATGACAAAGGGTTCCCATAAGTTAAAAAGCAAAACATCAATATATCACTCAAAACATGAGACAAGGAATACACAATTAAATCACAGTACCAAAACTGGCTAACAAAAATGTGAAAATGTTCAGCCTCAGAAGTAGTCAGAAAAACACATAAAAATAATGAGGTGATATTTTTCCGTTTATCAAGATTTGGCAAAAATTCTTTTTAAGTTATATCAGAGTTGGTGAGGGTTTAGAGAAACTGTCTTACCACACTGCTAGTGGTGGCAGGAAATCTGGAAAATGCTTATATGTTCTCACAGTAAAACTACTTCAAATATTCCACATAAGGAAACATTAAGGTGTTCATCTCCATGTTATTTTTAACAGTGAAAAACTGAAAATAAGCAACCAACCTTAGGAAAAACAAAAAGCACTGTACAATTGTGTTAGATGGCATCATGTAAAAAACTTTCTTTCCTTTTTTTTTGTTTGACATAGAGTCTCACTCTGTAGTCCAGGCCGGAATGCAGTGGCGCCATCCTGGCTCACTGTAACCTCTGCTTCCTGGGTCCTGGTTCAAGCAATTCTCCTGCCTCAGCCTCCCGAGTAGCTGGGATTACAGGTGCATACCACCATGCCCAGCTAATTTTTGTGCTTTTAGTAGAGACAGGGTTTCACCATGTTAGTAAGGCTGGTCTTGAACTCCTGACCTCATGATCCACCTGCCTTGGCCTGACAAAGTGCTGGGATTATATAGGCAGGGGCCACCATGTCTGGTCTTTTTTTTTTTTTTTTTTTTTTTTGAGGCAGGGTCCCACTGTGTTACCCAGGCTGGAGAGCAGTGGCGCAATCATGGATCACTGCAGCCTTGACCTCCTGGGCTCAAGTGATCCTCCCACTTCAGCATCCCAAATAGTTGAGAATACAGGCATGCTCCACGTCCAGCTACTTTTTGTACTGTTTGTAGAGATGGGGTTTTATCATGTTTCCCAGGCTGGTCTTGAACTCCTGAGCTCAAGGGTTCTGCCCAACTTTGCCTCCCAAAGAATTGGGGATTACATGCGTGAACCACCACACCCGGCCCAAAAACTGTTTTCAAAAAACACTGTCTGATGTGTGGGAAAATGTTACCAGTGTAATTTTTTGTTGTTGCTGTTTGAGATGGAGTCACGCTGTGTCACCAGGCTGGAGTGCAGTGGTGAGATCTTAGCTTACTGCAGCCTCCGCCTCCCAGGTTCAAGTGATTCTCCTGCCTCAGCCTCCTGAGTAGCTGGACTACAGGCACTTGCCACCACTTTTCTTTTTTTTTTTTTTGTATTTTTAGTAGAGACAGGGTTTCACTGTGTTAGCCAGGATGGTCTCAATCTCCTCACAGTGTATTTAAAAGGATAAAAGTATAAGCAATATGGCCAAAAGTTGGTAAAATATTAATTTATACACATTTATTTCATACATATATATATATACATATGCAGAAAGACTGGAGAGAAATATATTAATATTTTAATAGTGGTTGGTTATATGAGGTGATAATATGAGTAGGTAATTTAATTTCTCCTTTATACTTGAGCTGCCGAGTACTAAGTAAGGCAGGGGCTAGGAAGAGGACTGATCAAAGGACAATACCTGCCTTCAAAGTGCTTACAGTAAGAATAGCATAGCAAGGTAGAGGATCTGAAACTAGGTTTAGATTTGAGTTCTATGTCTTCTAAACTTGCTGCTTAATTGTGCAAGTCTCATTTTCTGTAAAATGGAGATTTTACACATTTGTTATCATTTCAATAAATATTGACCTCTGGTCTCTGTTAGATCCTTGGACTATAACAGACTTCATGGATCTCATACTTTAATGGGAAAGGTAGGCACCCAATATGTAATTATAAGTACAAAACATTTTTTAAAATGATAAATGATGGGTGCTAGTCTAGGAGGTGAAGAAAGCTTCTTGAGGAAGTAGTGCTGAATCTCAGATATGAAGGAGAAGTAGAAGTAAACTAAATAAAATGCCATAGGTATTCCTTTGTAAGGGAAGAATGCATTTCAATCCATGGAGTCTGGAGATAAACAAAGTCCAATATGACTGCAGGGTGGAGAGGGAGGGAAGGGTGGTGATGTTAAGAATTACTGTGGTTGGTAAGAATTGGGTTGCAGAGAGCTTAGTAAAACGTTTGCAAACTCTGAATTTCCTAAGGGCAATGGGAGATCACTGAAGAATTAAGTGACTTATACAAGATCACATAACTGATAAAGCTGAAATTTTAACTCTGAGAAGTCTGACTCCAAAGCTCATACCAATCAAAGAATATACATGAAGAAAAGTTACAACAGAGCTTGTCACCAAAATTAACTGATTAAATAATAGCTAATATTATAAACTTTAATGGGCACAAAGAGAAGTAAAAGTGGTAGAGATGAAGAACAGATAAATGAGACATATTCAGGGAATTAATAGGATATTGTGAATTGATTGGATGCAGGGTTTCTAGAGGAGATGAAGAAGTCTAAAATTACTTCAGATGGGTAAAATTTTCATATTGCCTCTCAGACTGAAAGAAAAATAGAGCATTCACATTCAAATACATGCACAGGGCAGGAATACAGGATTTGATTTTTTTTTCCACAGTGTGCCTTATCTTGGTCCTATATTTCTGAGTTCTCAGGGTAGAGTGTATATATCCAGTTAAATACAAACTGAAAAACTGAATTTAAAAAGAAACACTATGAACATCAGTTACTAGCACTCCAAAACACAATATACTTTTAGATTGTTACTTGGGTTTTAAACATTTTGCACAACTTTTCATTTTTTAGATTGTAGATGTAAAAAATAAAACTAGAGATAAATGATGATAAATTGGATTTTTTAATCCCAGCACTTTGGGAGGCCGAGGCGGGCGGATCACAAGGTCAAGAGATCGAGACCAGGAAACCCCGTCTCTACTAAAAAAAATACAAAAATTAGCTGGGCATGGTGGCGCGCGCCTATAGTCACAGCTACGTGGGAGGCTGAGGCAGGAGAATTGCTTGATCCCAGGAGGCGGAGACTGCAGTGAGCTGAGATTGCACCACTGCACTCTAGCCTGGCTCCTGGCGACAGAGCAAGACTCTCTCAAAAAAAAAAAAAAAAAAAAGGATTTTTTTCCTAAAAAACAAACATTTGGTTCAAAGTTTATTTCTGGTAAACATGGAACATAAAATTCCTTTTGAAGTAGGTTCCTACGCTTCACAGTGAATAAAAAGAAAGCAAACATTTCAAATAAAGGCATATATAAGTAAAATCCTTTGAGAACTAGTAAAATTAATCCTTACATGTGTGTTCCAATTTCCTTGACTTCATGATGTATGACATCATCAATACAACAATCTGGTTTAAGTTCAGCCACTGCAGCATTGGAGGCTGAAAGGTTTAAACGCTGAGAACTTGTTTGAAGATCAGCCTTGAAAGAAAGTTAAAAAAAAAAAAAGTCCAAAAGAGACTGGTTACCTATAAGGTATGGATGACTATGAGTAGAAAGAATAGGGGAATAAGAATAAGGAAAGAGGGATGAAAGGGGGAGAACACTTTTCTCTGGAAGCCTTTCTGTACAGCTCTGATGCTTAGAACCACAGCAATGGCACACACAACCCAAAAATAAATAAAATCAAGCAGGAATTAGGGAGAATCCAAAATGGAATACAAACAGTAACAAATGAACCTAACTGTATCACAAATGAAGAACACAATCATGCTAGGGCAGAGGGAAGGGGAAAAACGGAATTAGCCTAAGTTTGGAAAACAAAATCTTGACTGTAATCTATGGCTAAAGACAAAAAGATGGCTAAGTACAAATGTACTGTTGCTACTATACATGTGTTTTTTCAGTATTTTATGTGTATACTAGGACAAAACAATATAATGCATTGTGGATAACAAGAGACAGGTTTCTTACCTTTAGAGAAAACAAAAGGTACACATAAGGAAAGGGGGGAGCTACAATGAAGTCTTTGGTGTTGGACTGGAGTTTGAGGTATAAATATGAACACATGGTTTTTAAATATATATTCAGATGCATTTAACTGAAATAGATATGCATGTATGTGCTAGTATATAACACTAAAAGACAAGTAATCGTCCAAAACAAAATTAGATGTCAGAGACCAATTAATTTATAAGAGAACTAAAAAATGACATTAAAGTCACCAACTAAGAAAGCACTACCTCATCTAAAGTAGCACTTTTCCTCCACCCAATGATGTTCCATAATATTCTTTTTTTTCCTTTTGAACATTTATCACTTTGTCTTAAAACTACTCTCCTTTACCTTAGTTACTTTCTATCACGTTCACCTTTTGCTTCCGTTGTAACATTTATCACAATCTATAATTACCTTTTTATTATTTTGTTTATCTGTTTCTTTCTGTCTCCCCTACCAGAAAAGTCTATGGAGACAGGAACCTCTTGTCTTTTCTTGCTCACCACTATAGCACGGTGTCCGGCACGTTGTAGGCAATTAATCAGTATTTGTCGGATAATGAATGAATGAATGAATTTATGATAAAACTTCAAGGCAAAAAAAAAAATTGAGGGAAAGCAAACAGCACATTAGGTCATGGGCATTAATAGAGGTTTTTACATGAGACCTACGATTTTTAAAGTTTTTGTTTCTTTTAAAAAAGAGTTTTGCAGTTAATTCTAATCCAATGTACTTATGCTAGTCACTTTGAAATGGGATATTTATTAGTGCTGTGTCTTTTTATTTGTTTGTTTGTTTCTTTTGAGACGGAGTCTCGCTCTGTCACCAGGCTGGAGTGCATGATCTCCACTCACTGCAACCTCTGCCTCCCTAGTTCAAGAGATTCTCCTGCCTCAACCTACCGAGTAGCTGGGACTACAAACACGCATCACGACGCCCAGCTAATTTTTGTATTTTTTTTTTCTTTTTTTTGAGACGGAGTTTCGCTCTTGTTACCGAGGCTGGAGTGCAATGGCGCGATCTCGGCTCACCGCAACCTCCGCCTCCTGGGTTCAGGCAATTCTCCTGCCTCAGCCTCCCGGGTAGCTGGGA